CCCCCCCCCCCCCCACCCCGGACCTTGAGCTACTACTTTACCCTGTTTTGTTATCAAACTTTGCCCCAGGAGAGTTAATACATTGGCCTGGAGCAGTTCAGAGACTGAGTCTGTGGGCCAAATTGGATGGCTTTTTTTTTTTTTAAGAGAGAAGTTTTTTGCTATAGGGCACATGTGCTCCCCGGAGAGACAAAGCAAGAAATCATCCCCCAGGGAAGATGGCCACACCGCAATCCCTTTTCTTCCAGTCTCCTTTTGGGATTTTAGGCATGCAATCACACATACCCAGTGTGAATTTTAAGCTGCTGAGACTCAAATCGTGGTCACTACGTGGGAGTCCAATGATGTAACCATTACGCTGTCTGTCGGTCCTGATGGCTTTTTTTTTCTTTGTTTGGGGAGGTATTTGCCATGGGGTGTGTGCACTTGCCAGAGAGACAGAGAGGGAAAGTGAGAAATCATCCCCTGGGGATATGGCCACACCACAGTCCCTTCTCCTTCCTTCTCCTCTCAGGAATTTGAGCACACATGCATACACACCTGGTGTGATTTTCAAGCTTCTGGGTCTGGGACTAGAACCGCAGTCAGTCATATAGGTATCTCAACCATCCCACCACTACTGGCCCTGATGGCTGTTTTATAAAGTTTCCTTGAGGCTCAGTCGTGCCCCTTCATTTGTGTATTGCCTGACTGTCATTCAGCTGGCAGAGTTGGATAGCTGAGACTGAAATATCACTGTCTGGCCTGACACACAAAACGCTTACTGCCCCGAGGGCAGAGTGGTGGTTTCCAGCAAGGAACGCAGAGTACACCTACCTGGAGAGCTTTGAAGCATGCCCAACCTTATCTCTGGGATTCTGGGTTGTAAAGCTCCCAGGTAATTCTAGTTGGTCACCATGTGGAGAACCCTGGGCTAGCGTCTCTGTGAGATGTGCGTAGTGTACGAGCTGGCACTGGAGAGCCTCCATAGGACGTGGGTGGAGCTCCGAAATGCTCCGGGGTACAGATGGATAAAATGCATTCCACCTGGTGTGGCTGTTAACACTGCAGTGAGCGGAATAGCACCCCCCCTCCCCCCCCTCCCGTTATCCAAGGCTTTAGAGGCTGAAGCTGATTGAAAACGAATTCCTTTATCTTTTTTTTTTTTTTTTTTTTGGGGAGATTTTTTTTTTTTTTTTTTTTTGCTATAGGGCACGTGCGCTCACCAGA